ATTTTTCCTGAAGGGATGAGGATTTTCTTGTATGTTATTGAGAGATGAGGATTTCTCTCGAGGGGATGAGGATTTCCCCTGCATACCGATAGTTTGACGGCAGTCGGGATGTTACAGTGTCCGTATCGCTCTTGCTTTCAAAGGTCTCCCGAATGATTTTGCTTTTGCTTCAACATGTTTTTTTTGTCTTTGGTCTGAAATGTGAAATGGATCTTGTTCGTTTGTGTGTTTAGGGCTTGAATATGAGTATATGCCAGTAAATTTGATCAAAGGAGATCAATTCGATCCAGGTACGCAGTTTTGATTCGGATTCAAGGTTACATTGAACTTTTTAAATGTTAAGAGGGTTATTATAGTGAATTTAATTGTATAAAACTGCATAAACTATGTAGTAGTAGTAATCACATGGATGAGAATGTTAAGTGAATGACATGAATAAAACTGATAAATGGTTTCTTATGGTTCTTTTTGATCCTGAAGATTTCAAGGAGATCAATCCAATGGGTACTGTACCTGCTCTTGTTGATGGAGATGTTGTCATTTCTGATTCTTTTGCTATTATAATGGTCAGTTAAACTAGACATCCATTGAGGTCTTTCTTGGTGGTTTTGTGGATCAAAAGGAACATTTTCATCGATCTTTGGCTTTGTATTGACAGTATCTGGATGACAACTATCCTGAGCCACCTCTGTTACCTCATCAACAACAGTGATAATAGGAAAACCTTGTACTTAAACCAGTTTTACTTTTTAGTTTCTCTACTTGTTTTATACAATAAAGGTCATGGAATTTGTAATCTGCAAAGATAGCTTATATATGCATTCAGAGAAAACCTTTGTCTTTGACTCTAGACCGTTTCCTTCACCGCAGTGAAAACCAGCCCGAGTTTCATCAGTCTCTTAGCTACATCATGACACGGAGTAAGTCTGGGTTGAGTACTGATGGAGCGGAAGCAACATATAAACAACTCAACCAAAGGATTCAAGAAATCCTCGCTTGGGACCTGCCAACTCAACCAAGGGATTCAAAAATCCTCG